ATCGTTTATCGCAATAAATTTTGAGACAATTAATCGCCCAGCAAAATTTTTTATCGTGACAGGCCTAATTGCACATGATACGATTATGCCCAACCCTAATATACACACACATAATAATTTCACACCCTCATCAGCATAACAAAAAACTTGAACCACTCAAACATCAGGTTGTAGAAATATATATTATATAGTTTTATATCTTTTCAACAATTTAACTTTTATCATTCTAACAAATAAATTAAGCAAGTCAGCATTTTTATAATCTTTGTCCAAGTTATTCCACAATCTTATTCCTTGAACTGAGGTACATCTATCCTTCAAGTTTATTTGAATTTTAGGTTTTACAAACGACTTCAAATCCTTTCAAATTATAACAACTTTCCCTCTTAATAAAATTAGATTAAATATTCAAGGCCAATATATCTTTTGAGCCCTATACATAATCAACAAAGTCTTATAATCAACCAACTCATAAAAGTTTAATAATTTCAATTGATGAAATAATATATTCGATGGGTGATAATGTTTTTCTGCTATAATGCTTATAGCTCATTTTTGCAAAATAAGAATAGAATTAGTAAATGTTTTACATGCCTTACCCCAAATTTCAACACAACAAATCAAATGTGGAACAATTATTACATTACATACTTCATCATTAAATAACTCCTTTATGTTGTTCTGCAATAGATTTTGCTATTTTTGTTAAGTAATTTATATTAAGTTTCCAGGTCAGGTTTTCATCAATAATAACACCGAAAAACTTCACCTCACTAACTTTACAGAGCTCCACACCATCAACTTTAAATGAAATATGACCGTTTTTTTCTATTACTGAATATCATATTTGTTTTGTCTAAATTTAGTGATAATTTATTAAGCTTAAATCAAGTTTGTATTTTTACAAATTCTATCTGCATCATTCCAAACATCTGTTCTAAATCTTTGCCCAAACAAAAAAATGTGAAATCATCTGCAAACAAAACACATTTAAACAACCTTGACACATTTACCAAATCATTTACATATAAGAGAAACAACTTGGTCCAAGCACAGAACCTTGTGGAACTCCACATGTAATATCACCAAATTTAGATCTTACATCATTTATTTAAACAAATCATTTCCTGTTTGTCAGATAATTAGATACCCACTGTAATACTGGACTTCTCATGCCATATTTGTCTGCCATATCTGTGATCAAAAGTATCAAAAGCTTTCTTTAGATCATCAAAAACGCTAACACAATATTGTCTTTTATCAACAGCTTTTGTTATTTGTTCAATCAAACACATGAATGCAATTGATGTTGAGTTACTAGCTCTAAATCCATATTCATTATTACTCAAAACATTTTGTTTATCAATAAATCGATCCTATCTGATTACAAACAATTTCTCCAAAACTTTTGAGAACTGAGGCAACAAGGATATAGGTCTATAATTATAACCTATACTGTACTATAACAAGTATGGCAGGCCATTAAATGATACAATCAAAAAACTGTGGCAGACCGTTGTATCAAATAATTAACCAGTATGGCAGGCCATTGTATCATATAATCAAAAATATTTCAGGCCATTGTATCAAATAATTAACCTGTATGGCAGGGTGTTGTCATAATTAACATGTACGGCAGGCCATTGTATTATATAATCAAAAATACGGCTGTTTTTTTAAATGAAATAATTAACATGTATGGCAGGCCATTGTATTATATAATCAAAAATATGTCAGACCATTGTATCAGATAATTAACATGTATTGCAGGGTGTTGTGTAATTACTAACAAGTGTGGCAGGCCGTTGTATCAAATGATTAACCAAGTATGGCAGGCTGTTCTATCATTAAAAATTGTTTTTCTGTTTCAAATAATTTGTTTACAGTTTCACATTTTTCTTTCAGTTTCAAAATGACTTTTTGAACCAACTATATTGCCCAAATTTAATTGCTTCACTAAATCCTAACCCTTCAATAACATTTATTCTTGTTTATTTTGACTGTCACTTTATTTTGCGAACCGAATCAGTAAAACCCAAAGTTTCAGTGGTGAGTTTGAGTGAAACTATGTGCACTCTGTCACCTTTCCTACCTGTAGGCTCTCACTCTCCTCAGCCTGCTGCTTCAGTGCCAAACTAAAGTGTGGCTCTCGCTGTGCCTTCTCAGTTTCTGTGGACAGAACATGGATTTGCATTTTAAGATGTGCCTTTTCCATAAAACATTCATGAGTCTAGACCCGAGAACTCAGCAGGCCTGCGTCTCAGCCTTATCAGTCCAAGACATTTTGTCCAAATAATTACTACAAGATGTGTTTTTTTTTTAATCACAAATGAGACCCGTGTGTGAAATTTGGATTCATGAGAAAAGCTAAATGTTAAATGGAAACTGTTAAAGACCTTTGCTGCTTGTTTTTTCTTCAGTATATTATTTATGYGCGCTCAAGGCAAGAGAGAAAAACCACCTCGTTATGTGTAAAACTTGAAGAAAGCCATGGGCAAAGTGTGGACATACCGCGGAGCGTGAAGACTGTCAGAATGAGGAGCAGGCTGGGCTTTCTTAAAGCACTGAATCGTATTTTATTGATTTACAATGAGATGAATCATTAAATAATCAACCAGCCTTCCCTCTCTCTTCAAGAACTCAGAGGACAAACCTCTCATCAAATCAGACAATCGACACAAAATGTCCTGAAGTTTCTGCTCTCCTCTGAGACCGTTTCCCTCCGCAGGAGAAGCTCCAGAGAGGAGAGCAGGGAAGCATGAGGAGTCTCTGAAGCACGCGTCCTCAAACATGGCAGTCGACTTAAAAAGTAATTTATTCAGCTGACGGGAGCCGAGAAAGATTGATGTTCATATTTCATCCATCAATGGTTTTCATAATTCACTGGCCTGCTGGATAAGTGCTGGTCAGAGCTTGTCAAGCAAGCTGTGGCAGGAACATTCTCCGTTCAGACGGCTTCCTGATAATCAAATCTCAGCAGAGTGTTGGAGCCAGAGAGGGAGGAGGAAACAACGCTGCAGTCAGAGTCTGGAAGCTTCAGAGCTCCACCGTCAGACAGAGGAGCAGCAAAAAGACACAAAATGATCAGAGACGACACAGAGTACATCATCATTTGAGATTATCAGTGTTCTGAGCCATCATTCCTGCACCGTTCATGTTGTTGTTGCCCTTCACGGTGCCACCTGGACTCAAACCTACAGCCTCAGGATTACAAGACCACCAAGCTACTGCATCATTGTGTATCATTAATAACCTCCTCTGTACTGAACCATCATGTTACAAACATGTACTGTCAGCTTATGATGGATAAAAACATTCTGTGCACCACAGAAAGTGGAGTTCTTGTCTTTGAGACTCATTTCTGCATGATCACCTGACGTTAGAACCTGCTAACTGCACGTAGCTGCAGAACAAACTCCTGATGACATCACCACGTGGCTTTAATACCGAGACGGACTGCGTCTACAAAATAGTCCTGAACTTTGACTGGGTTGGCCCACAACAATCAGTACATRGAAAGTTAGAAACACCTGACACAGCCTCTGAATGTTGCTATTGTTACATACAGAAATATACATTTATTTTCACATCTATTTTAGACAGATTTTTAACTCAGTTAGTTCATACAGCGGGTAAAATAAGTATTGAACACACTTACTGAAATTTATCTAAAACTTTGTACAAAAGCCTTTGTTGTCAATGACAGCTTCAAGACGCCTCCTGTATGGAGAAACTAGTGGCATGCATTGCTCAGGTGTGATT